GGGGGGGGGGAGACACGGCGGCACGGCGGAACAAAGCAGATGACTCGCCCCGTGTCGCGTGGCTGCCCGCGGGGCGTGGCGCGGAGCGGAGCGGCGCGGCGCGACCGACTAGCGAGCGAGCCGAAGCGACGACGCCGCCGCCGGGGCAAAAGGCGGCGGCAACGGCGGAGCGGACGCGGACGACGTCGCTGATTCAGACGTGAAGTGACTAAGCCAACAGGTCTCTACAGGTCCCCACCCGCCGCCCCGCTCTGTAGGGCAAGGCGCCTCGCCCGCCTCGCCCCGCCCGCCGCGCCACGCCCCGCGCCTAAGTGAAGTGACACGGCACTGTGAAAAATCCAAAAGAGTCGGAGGGGGCGGAGGGGACGGGGAGCAGGCGACGCCCTCCCCCCAGCTTTTTCACTTCGAGGCGTGTGTTGCTGAGGGGCGCAAAGCAAGCAACCGGCCGACACGCCGAGTCGTCGTCGTCGGCCGAGTCCAATCGGAAATCTCCATTGTTTGCAAAGGGCCGTCGGTCGGTCGGTCGGGGCGTGTGCACGCAAGGTGCACCGGGACCAACACCAGCGGGGCGTAGGCAAGCAACGCCGTAGGCAAGCGCACAGAGGGGGGGGGGGGGGGGAAGCCGTGTTTAGTTTACGGCCCGGCGAAAATAGCCAACACACTTGTACACTTCTGGTACTGTACCCCCCCCCCCCCCCTACACACACACACACCGGGGGGCCCTCCTGTACTCGGCGAGGAAAATAGAAGGGTGCTAGAGGAGGTCCGGCACGGACGTGACGTGACGGACAGACGGAGGGTCCGCAAGCTGCGGCCGTGGCGGCCGAGCCGCCGAGCCCTCGCGGCGAAAGTGTTTTCTCCGTATCGATCCCATTAGCATAACAGCGACCCATCGACTGCTAGGCTGCACTTGGCTGAACAATTACCTCGATAAGCACGAGCAGCCCGGCGCGGTCGGTCCGGTCCGGTTGGCCGCGGCCAGCGCAAGAGGGGACTTCCTCGATAACCTCTACTAAAGGCGGCCCCCCGCGCGCCTGCTCACCCTTACTGCAGCAGCGCGGCGGGGCCCGTGGTGGGGCGGGGTGTGGCGGGGCGGGGTGTGGCGGGGCGTGGCAGACAGCCGGGCGCCGCGGCGCGAGGCACGACGCAGAGGCGTGTCCACTCTCACGCCTTTGCAGCTCGCCGCCGCTACCGTGGCCGGCCTGGCAGCGCCGGGCCGGGCCCCCGCGCACCGCCGCGCGCTGCACAGGCAGGGGCGTCCAGAAAGGCACGTGCGTACGCGATCCTAACGGTCACGCTTTCGCGCACGCATTAGCATAACAGCGCAACGTCCCTCCGGCGTTACGTAACGGATCGGGAGGCTACAACTGCTGCTGAGCGTTATGTACTTCTACGCCTCGCCCGTCCCGCCCGTGCGGCGGTGGTGGCCGTTCACCCTCTGCTAGGAAGGGTTGGCGAAGCGGAATCCCCATACAACCTCAACCCTCGCGCTGTCTCTCTAGGGGGCCCGACGGTGGGCACGGGAGACCAGCACACCTGCCTCGTCGCTCACCCTCCCCAGGGGAGTGGACAGAGGGAGAGCGTTACGCGTACTGTACACACACACACACCCTGCCCTGCCGCCAACCAACCCCCCCGACCCGACACAAGTGCCGACGGGACGGACGCGACGGACGGGACGGCGCGAGGGGTGCGGATCGCACAATCAAAGGAGGGCGAGGAGAGGGCCCCGGAATAGAACTCCCCGCTCGCCTCGCCAGCCTTTCTAAGAAACGCCCACCGACCACAGAACGCTGCTGCTCCTGGTCTTGTCGGCAATGGGGCGAGGCGGGGTGGGGCGGGGGCGCGACCCCGTAGCCCAGCACGTGGTGTGGGAAAAAGGGAGGAGAGTTCCCTCGCGGCGGCGGCAGGCTTAACAAAGACGACGGTCGGCGGCGCGTAGTGGGCGGGCTGTCGGGGGCCCCGCCCGCGGGGCGCGCTCGCCCGCCGGCCGAGAGGGCGGCCGCGAGGGGGAGGACAGGCACACGGCTGCGGGGGTCAGCGAACCAGCTGCTGGTCGATGCGCGCGCGCGTCCGCGGAACACCAGAACAGGGCACACACATGAAAAACGGGGGCCGGCCGCCGAGGGGACACCCATCACGTCCGAAAAGGCGAGGCAAAAATAAATAAAAACGAGGCGGTCTGTCACGAAAAGAGAGCAGTACAGTACTTGTGTATATGCGGTGGTGCGGACGACTACATTAGAGGGCATGGCAAGGCAGGCAAAGGCATATCGTGACGATTTACGTAGCGTGACTCTGGAGAAAAGAAACATACAGCGCACATCAGGGCCGAGTGACACACGCCGAACGACGCTTCGCCACCGCCGCTTCGTCACCACCGCCTTTTATTTTCACTGCAGGTGCCCGCCGCGCGAGAAAACTTGTGTGCCACAAAAGGAGACTACTTCCCCTTGCTGCTCAGCAGCAGCAGCAGCACGCCGGCCGTGGGTTTTAAAAAACATTTAACGGGCAACGCGAAGAGGAGAAGAGATAGCGCGACAAGGGAAGCAGGGGGTGGCGTGGGAGCCCGCGCAACGCTCCGCCACAAACGAGCAGCCACATACTGCAACTCTCGGGCGGCGCCGGCCGGCTCGGGTCGGGGGACGGGTCGCACATATGACACCACCACTCCGTTGTTGCAGAGCGCTCTCCTCGACGACGAACGACCTGCTCTCCTCCTCTGCTTGCAACAGTTTGCCAGTCTTTTATCTCCACGCGGATGAAAAAGTAAAAAAAAAGTGGCTTCACCAGCTGCAGCCTCTCGTATACACATATACGGACTTGCATGCAGAGGTATTAAAAAGCTCAGCTTTTATTGCCTTCACGAACCGCCACATTTACGGACAGACATTTCCGCCGACCAGCAGAAACAAGAAAAGATGTATGTAACTTGAGGCCTCATCAACCTCCGTCGATCGTAAACTCGGGAGGCAAAAATCTCGGGGGGCCGCGATGATGACGACGACGACGACGGGCGTCTGCTTACCACCCGGCGCCCCGGCCAACCAGCCGGCCCGTTGGGTTGGTCCGGCCAGCCAGTCCGTCCCTCCTCGCCTGATTACCCGGGCGCGGGGGGAGGAGGGAGGGGAGCAAAGAAAAACGCTCCGCCGCCCTCCTCTCCGCACCGGACACGAGAAGCAGCAGAGCCGTCGTGGCGGCGATTAAAACTTGCGAGAGGAGAAGAGAACAACACCAGGGAGAAGTATAGCAGAGGGAGGCGCAAGGGGCAAAAAAACACTACCCGCGGCGGCGCCATTCGCACCTCCAGGGGCGGAGCGGGGTGGGGCGGGGCGCCGCCGCGGGTGACTGGGCACCGCGTGCCCCGTGCCGCGCCTTCCGTCCGCGGGGAGATAAATCTGAGGCGCGCGGGAGATAAAAGAGCAGAGCAGGGAAAGAAGGCAGCCACCCATTGTTTCCGGTCGAAAGGCATCGCGCGCTGCGCGGGGCGGGGGCGGGGCGGCGAGGGGCGTGGCGGACCCGAAGAGAAGAAGAACAACAAGAAGAAGGGGGTCATTTGGGCGGCTCGGAGCAGCTGACCATCGGGCCGCCAGCCGGCCGGTGCCCGTCGTGGGGCCGTACCCATCCGCCGCCCGGGGCGCAACGCCGCACGCCGGCCATGCCCTCCCCCCAAGGCCCCCCCTACTCTACCGTCAACTCGCGGACGTTTCGTCGAGGTGGACTGGAAACGAAATGTGTGTGGACTTCTTTTTTCTGCGCCGTACTTACAGCCGGGCTGGCTTGAGCGACCACCCCGTCAATGTTTGCGTGTATACACTATACCCGCCTCCCCTTTTCCCAGTCCGCGTACAGCCTTCATAACCAACTCCCTAAAACGAGGAGACTTTTTTGATTTAAAAAAAGAAGAACACGAGATAGTGCTTTTGACATTTAGTTTCCTCTCACACGTCAACCGTGTCGCCCTCGGGCCGTGAGCGGATACGACCGCAATGACGACGTGACGTCGACGGCCGACCTCCTCCACCAGAGGGACTCGCGGGAGGAGGAGGAGGAGGGCAGCACGCAGAAGCGGCCCGCGGAGAGAATTACCCGGGCCGTGAGTGCGAGCCTGTGTACCGGGGGGCGTAGAGAGTACTGTACCGTACTGTACCGCCCGAGTGACAAGTAAGAGGCGGGCACGCCGCCGCTCCAGTTTCCAGAGAAACGATGGGCGAGAGCGAAACAAGAACAGGAGTGGCAGAGGAGGCGCCCGACGGACGTGTTCGCGCGGGGTCCTAGCTGAAAACGATCGCTAAACGCCCCCTCCTCCTCCTCTCTCCCGCGCGCCCCGCTCGCCCCGTTCCGGGTCGGACCCGGTCCGGGCCGCGACCGGCGGACCGGCGGAGACCGGCGCGGGGTCCGGGGTGAGCGGGGACGCGCCTGTAATTATATACTTTGCAGGATGGACACGAAACGACTCTCTAGGCCTGTGGGCCGCGCCGGCCGGGGCCCGGGCCGGCCGCCTCTCCCAGAACAAAGAGCGGGCCGAGCCGGCCGAGCCCAGAGCCCACTTACAGCGCGAGCCGAGGCGAGGCGAGCATGGACTACATCGCCGTGGTTGCCGGCCGTGTGCCCCGGGCCCGGGCCGTCCAACAATACAGCTGGCCCCGA